AGTAGTGTTAAAAAATGCCTTCTCTTCCTATTTTCCCCACAACAAGCACCCTTTGAAGTGGGTTGGGCTGAGAGAGAATAACTGGCCTAAAAGCATTCAGTTGATTTCTCTGCCTAAGGGAGGAATAAAACTCACAGTCTCCCTATTTCTAAAACCTTAAACATTACATCGAATTGGCACACGTAAAACTTTTTCAATACAAAAATTAAACAGCTAAGCAAGTATACTATACAGTTGAGACAAAACAACAGCACCAAAGCTCCAAGCTAACAAAAGTTCTTCTTACTTCCTCTTGGTTCAATTATCATCAAAATAAAAAGATCCAGAAAGCAGAAGGAAAAAATGGTAAGTTCCACACATAAAGCACTAACACATCTCCCAGCTTCTGAACCTCTGCAAATTTACCTTTGATCCTTTTACAATTTAGCCACTAACATATTTTAATTTTTATCGTCATAGAAGCCATCTACACTTTAACGTGAACATCTTGGTCTGATTTTAGAACTGATTCAAACATGGATGCCTTAGGGTAGTGTTTCTCAACTTTGGCAACTTTTAAGATGTGTGGATTTTTGGGACTTGAAGTCCACACATCCTAAAACTGCCAAGATTAAAAAACACTGCCTTAGAGGATGACATTTATTAGGCACTGGACCAAGATTGTTTCTGTTGATTATACCTGACTTCTTCACAAACTTCAATTCTACCATCTTTAGTATCCTGTTGGATTCTGAAACAGGAACTGATACAATAATTCCAATTTTAACTAACATGTCTTAAAAAAGGGATGCTGAAAGATTGCTATTCGTTACCGAGGGCCAAGAAACAGCTCAAGAGATCATTCAGAAACTTCAGCAACATATGGCTGATACCCAGTTTTCTTTTTCAATTTCTTTTTTTTTAATGCAAAGTAAGCAGCGATAATTTTGAACTAATCACTGACTATAGTAATGGGTTGATTGCAGCCTAATAAAGTATCTTAACACATAGAAGACAGGTAACGCTGTTCTGTAGTAGGAATGTCCACCTAAGAATGGGAATATGTTACATTTTAGATGAGCCTGGATCTCTCGTACATGCTGGGTCTGATACTGTCATTGAATGAAAGAAAGGCAAATGTATTATTTTTTAAAAAAAGAATACTTACGGCAGGATGAAAGACATTAATAGCTTGAACAGAGGCCTTGCCTTTTTGTTTATACCCAAATACCAAATCAAACCAGTGGCAGATGGTTTGGGAAACATGGTCAGACTCTAAAGCTTGACGGTGGATCAGGATAAATAATCTTGGATCATTTCGAGCCCAGGGTGGGAGGTTCACATGGTTTACTCTTTCACCATTCTGACGTATCCCAAAATCAAAACCTAAAAATAGAAATAACTTATATTAGTTGGCTTAAATTTAAATAACTAATGTAAAAATTAATTTTCATGTTCACACCATATTTCTTAAAAAACCAATTCAGAGCAGTAGTCACAAGATTCTGTTCTCCAAAATTTTACATTTAACAATTGATTAAATCAACTGCATAGTTTTCATATAGCTTTAAATCTGAATGTGAATTTTGGACTTGTGCATTGCTCCTGTTTCTCTCCTCCAGGAAAGCTTCTTTTTCACCAATCTGCATGTCAACTCTACAAATGAGCATGGCTGCAGCCATTTTTCCTACTCATTTTCGGTTGCCACATAGCACGGAGGGAGAGGGGTTACCCAGGTGCTTCGCTAGTCAAAATAATCTTTTCTCCCATGGGAACCAAGGTCATCGGCTGCTTCCAAGAGGCTGGGCTTTGCGTAAAAAGCCCGCTGAGATGTATTGCTTGCATGATTTTAGGAGTGGGATTTTTTAACTTTGTATTGGGGAATTGCTATGTGTATCTCCAGACTTGATTTCACTTTTGACATGCGGATACTTTGTAACTAATAAACATGCAAGCCTCGGAGTTCGGCTTTATTCGTCTCTGTTTGTCAGAACCATGACACTGCACTTTATTATGAATGAACCAAACAGTCTGAATGTATTACAGACCCATTTATTTCTTTTAAACAAAGTTTTTCAATAACAATAAAAATGGTGCTATTGACCTATGAGTAGATAGTAAATTTAATGCGGCCGCGCGGGGGATCCTGGGGGCCTCTAGATACTCCCATGTAACACCTCTCCTGCGCGAGCTGCACTGGCTGCCTGTGGCCTTCCGGGTGCGCTTCAAGGTGTTAGTAACAACCTTTAAAGCGCTCCATGGCAATGGACCTAGTTATTTGCAAGACCGCCTCCTACCAAACACCTCCCTTCGACCAGTCCGCT